CAGACACGCACAGACACACACACAGAGACACACGCAGACTTACACAGACACACACAGACGCACACACACACACACAGACAGACACACACACAGAGACACACATGCACACACAGACGCAGACACACACACACACACACACGCACACATACCCACACGCACACATACACACACACACACACACACACGCACACGCACACACGCACGCATGCACGCATGCACGCACACACACACAACAAACAAACACGCAACCTGCGCAACTGAGACGAAGGCTTTGCGTGAGCGGAAGAACCGTGCACGCGTAGAGATGAGCGGCCACAGACACACAGACAGTCCGACGTTCAAGTATGACCACACTGCTACAGAAGAAGCTGCCTGCATGTTACACCGCGCGTGGATAACCTCAGGTCATCAAACAACCAAATTCGAGGACGGCGCTCAATCCGCAATTCACTATGCCGCTAATCCCAAGGCTCCCTCCACGGGGCGGCGCCCGTAGCCGAAGTGAGGTGCGCGTACACCTTGAGTCTCACATCAGATGGCGACCCAGCAACAACCAATCTGTTGAGACAGCCAGCCTCCGGCAGCGGCTTTGCAACTCCTATGCACAACGCTGGAATTCGGGAAGCGGAAAGATTTTAATTCACTTCAATCAAAACGCAAACCAAAACAGCCTCCTGGATTCACCCGGCGCATGAAGTGTACCTTAGCTACAAGAGCGCAAGCCCGCTCCAGAAAGTCCACGAGCTACGCGCACTAGAGACCATCCGTCGCACACAAGTGCCAGGAGCACGGCATCTTGAACCGTGCAGGTTCAAGGAGCAACCTAACACCAATTTATTTTCAATGCAAGTATAAGTATTACTAGCACCACGACCACTACTACTACTACTACTACTACTACCACCACTGCCGCGACTACTATGATGACTATTACTTCGAAAAACAAATATTACGAATATACCGATGATTTCTATATTATATAAAATACTAGGTCCAGGTTATAGATATTGGTAAATAAATTGAAAACATTCATGATTTCTAGAATCTCTAGAAGTTCGAGTCGCGACATGAAGCGTGGCGCGGACAGTTCCACTGGTGCCAAATGCGGTGCGGCATAGGATATTCTTTCGTCGCATATCGCGATACGAATGTGGCGCAAGAGGTTCGCCGGCGGACTATCGCGATAGCGACGGAGTGCGGCAAGGGAGTTGCGATACGAGGGGAGTTCCATCGATGGGGAGCGCGATAGTGCAGCGGCGGAAGATTCTACCTGCGCTGGTTGTATGTAGCGCGGGAAGTTCCCTCGATACGGATCGCAATACGGAGTAGAAAACGGGGTACGAAAAACGAGGTTGATACTAGGCGCGAGAAATCACCGCCAAAATCCCGAGCGCAAGAAATTTCGCCGCTGGGAATTAGAGATACGAGAGGACACTGCAAAAAAATTCAAGGGTAGCGATCACGATATAGAGTGGGACGAGAGAGTCCAATAATAAATGCAACGCGAGAAGTTCTCTCGCCTTAGAGAGTAGAAGTCGTAATGCGAGAACGAACACGAGCGATTCCACTGATGCAACATAAGGAATAGAAGCTCCATTAATAGAGATTCCATGCGGCGTACGAAATAAGTACTTCGAAGAATTATATTAATACAATTACTCGCGAGATTACTTTGGGATAACCTTTAAGTTCCCAGACTAGTATTCAAGAACTACTAGCACTATGTAGTTATTAATGAATAATTAGAATTTCTACGAAAGCATTTCTTTTCCTATCTGTTATATATCTATATATCAATGTCGCAGTGCAAGAAATATTCAAAATCATACTAGTAAAGTGTGGAGCAAAACACCTGCTCAGTACAGATATGCCCAGGAATGAAATACATGTTGAACTGTTGAGCTGTGAATTCAACCCAACAGCTAATGTGGCGAACACCACAGTAAGAAGTCCAAGTCTAAGAGATGCTTTGTACTGCTGTGTGCAGCTGTTTAGATGTGGCTCTCTGTATCTAGAAGCGCACACATACACACTCACTTACAGGCACTTGCTCAATCTCAAAGTGTAAATACCGCAAATATTTGACAGCTTTCCTTCACTCGGAACGATGCTGTGGCTACAAGCTTACAAAAAAGGGCTCGCAGTTCATGAAGAATAGCTCAAACAAACAACGGATGATCAGTGCCGGTTTTGTAGCTGCTGGCTGAGTCTGAAATGCTGTGTGCAGTTTTGTGCACAGAGCATTTGCTCCTGCCAAAGGCCTCGAAGACAGCAGCAGAAGACTTGTATTGCGTGAAGCAGGATAGGTTCTGCAGTGATTGGTATGCTGATTTCCTTGATTGTGCCATCCAGGCTGACCAAATAGTTGCATCCACTACCTGTATCAAACAAAAACGAAAAAACCTCCTATCCACCGGTAGCTTCCAACCTGGTAGAAATGGTTCCCGGCCAACAAGGTAATGGATCGGCGTAGAAACTGGGACTTGAGGAACTCTGCATGTCCAGCCCATTCCTGATCAGGGCTTCCAGACAACTACGTCATAACCTGAAGCTACTAACAAAACAGTTGGGTGATATTGCTTGGGAACGGTCTCCGGTATCACCACAACGAACGCAAGCATCTTCTTCTCTGCAGTGGCCCTTTCAAGGCATTGTTGGCAAAACACGGCAGTTCGCCAGACAATGTCCTCGTCAAAGGGAGGATTCACCTCGACCACACCCTCCAAGATAGAAGCTTCGAAGAAGGATCCGCGAGACCCAAACAGGCCATCTACGTCAGAAAATGCGCTGTGGTAATAACCCGCTCCAGCAAGTGTATTCAGTGGCGAGGCAAATGCTTCAATGACGGGCTTCGAAAACCATTTCTGCAAGACGCCAAACACAGAATCAGGGAGCGCTCCCTGATTGCCACCTCCTTTCTCATGTACCTGCAGAACACGATATCTGGCCAAGACCAGGAACACAGCCTTGGATGCTCGGCGTTGTCTCCCTGTTCCAAAGCCAGTGCAGCATGTGGGCTATGGTATTTGACAGCTAAGTTGACAACCACAAAAACACAGACATCCATCCAAGGCTCTAGATGAAGTTGCAAGCTGGAGCCTACATGCAAGTCTCGAAGCTTGGCAAAGTGCCGCGGCAGCACCTCCACCGTGCGCTTTCCGCATCTCAGCTTTATCAGGTCTGAGCCTCAGGTCATACGCGGAGCGCACGGCTGCCTTGAGCCAGAATATATGTTTGCCAAACGACTTGAAACATGCAAGAGGGCACGACTCAGACCTCCCCTTCCGAGACTCTGATGTGCGATGTGGTGGAAAAACTCTCGGTTCGCTCCAAGGCACCGTGCTCGTCAACCTGGATGCGAATGTCCGTCGCAGGAACGATCTCAGATGATAGAATAATTGCCAGCTTTCGTATTCGCGCCCTGGCCTCCTCGCAAATTCATACCGACTGCGTATGCTACTTGAGAGCAGAGCGGCCGAAAGCTAGGGGGAGGAAAGTGGCAGCTGTGCATTGCAATTGCCTGCAAATGCTGCTAAGCAAATGTGGATGACGCCGTGCTCGTTGTATGCTGTGTTGCGAAGAAACGCATGGCAAAACCCAAGCGTTTGTTTACCTTCCTACAAACTCGCCAATGCTTGTGCGGAGATGAAGTGTGCGGTGAACATGAAACCGTCTTAAGCAATGCTGCTGTCTTCAATTGTGCAGATGTACCCCGCGGCTTTGTTGCCGAATCACAGCGACTCTGCTATGCTCTGCTGTCTGTTGTGCTGACCCCTTGAGGACCTCAAGGTAGGAACCCTAGTCGAAACAGTGGCCTCCCTGATCAAGCAATAAGGTGCTTGGGGGTCCCCCCCATGCTGAGACTTAAGCGCTACGGTCTCGTCTGACCTCAGCCTGATGTGTAAACAACACCTCCTGCATCCTGCTGCAAAATCCAAAGAAGCTAGCTTTCGTGACATGGCTGTGTCATGATAGTTTGGATGAGGAACCTCTGTCGTTGCTTAGATACGCGGTTGAAGCCCTTTCAGCCGTCAAACCCCGCCACGGGACTTTTGTTAGCTGGCCTTCTTGCTAAGGCCTGCATTCACCAGCTTCTGCAGCAGTTGCTCGTCTCCATGCTTAAGTGCTTCGGCCGAAGGTTCCCCCAACGGCAGCAGTGGATGAAACATGCGTGCCCAGAGCCTTCGCTGTCTGCGATGCGAGGTTCAGGTTTACGATTTACGATGCTGAATGCACGGCACCGGTGGGTGGGTGAACATATACAGAGCACCTCAAATCCTGTCCACTCCCATGGAATCATTTGGCAAGTCGCCAAGCTTCCAAATGCCTCTTCCGCTTCTGTTCGTTGCGCTTGGAATCCGCACCACCCAAGCTGGGTGAGATGTGTAGGTCATAGCCAGCTACCACTTCGTCCATCACGTCCCAGCGGCCCAATTCAAGCCCGACCCTCGACTGTCATCATATGAAGTGCTTGTGCAAACCCAAGCTGCGAACAATAGGTACAACAAACTAAATCAAGGCAAAGCTCCACTGCAGCAGCCGATTCTTGGACACTTCTTCTCGATGCTTGCTTCTCTTGGTCTTGCTTCCACGTCGTACCAGTTTCGATGGACGGTCCGGCGCACGCTTTGGCCGAGGCTTCTTGGCACATTGTGGCTTCAACTTCGACCAGTTTTGGCTGATCATGGCGCATGGTGCTGGTCACCAGGATTGCAACAGAATGCCTTGAAGCTGTGAGTTTGATGTTCAAGATTTGCGATGGAGTTCTAGCAAAACGTTCCCTGCATGGATCGGGAGATCGGATCTACAAGCTGAATCAGATGAGCTTCAACATCTCTTCGTCTTGCAAGTCAGAACATGACTAGCATGCCGCAGCACAAGTGAAATCTTCACTGCCCAATTCTCGTGACATGTCCTTTTTCACTCAAGAAGCCGGTGTCACGCCGAGCCTGAGATGCTCCCACGCTGCTTCCACATGTTTGAGCATGATCCCTAACACCGGAAGAGTAGGGTCTCGGCCACTTTCGAGCCTCCGGAAGCCGCAACACGCTGGCCTTGGTAGGCACAGTCGCAGTGGTGCCATGTCGCACGACAGCTGCTGAGCTGCACACACTCGTAGGGAAAAACCGACAGTCCTGTCCTTCTAGACTCAGCTTTGGAGCCTGGACCCGCAGAGCTCGAATCTCGAATGCATGCAGATTTAGGGCATTTAGGGCCTTGTCCTTGGATAACGCGACAGTTCGCAAGGATTCTGCATCGAGCCAAACAGAGTGCAAATGTCCCACCTGCCACACAAACCCACTGGCATTTGAGGCGAGGCATGACAAACTGACCCAAGCATGTCTCCTTGTCTGCAGCTGACAATCAAAACTATCGTGCTTCCTTGTTGCAGCCGGCCTTTCCAACATGGTAGCTGGGACCTTGGGAATTCAACCAAGGTCTCTGAAGCCTTCGATACTAATGGGAAGGTGCCACCAACGCTTCAGAAGCATGGAGGGCGGTTCTGGGACCGGCGGCTCGGTTTCGGCTTTGACAGAAGCTCTGCGGCTGTTTCCTGTGCAGTTGCGGCTCTTGCACTAGGCGGGAGGCTTCAGACTGTGCAGAATCAGAAGGATCAGTCCGTCCTCTTGACGTTGCTTCTTGGCAGGAGGCTCATGTCCTGCACAAGGAGAGCAACGTTCACGTGGCGGCACGTGGCGCTCCGTGAGACACTGATGGGGGACATGCTGTCGCTCTCCTGGCTCATCTGCCTCTTCTGCTGGCACCTCGCAGAAGAGGACCGTCAGGCCGGCAGGCGAGAAATAGAGCGCCATGTTGTCGGCACCGCTCCTCGGCTGAAGCTTGTCAGATCTCATCAAGCTTGCCATGCGGTGCAGCTTGCTTCATGGAGTCATGCATTCAGGACTTGCTGAAGCTTGCAGACCCAAAGCCAAGGCACCAAGTCATGGGAACTTTGCTCCCCGGTGCCAGTCCTCACAGGGTTTCGGCCGGTAAAAAGTGAGATGCTGCCAGAGTCCTCGAAGCCTTCAGCTCCGGGCTTGTTGCTTCGATGTCACCACCTCCGTCGAAGTCTGCAAAGTCCAAGTACCTGGCAGTGCTCGTGGCGACACCTTCTCGAACAGAAGCTTGGGTGTAGTTCAGTTCGAGGGAGTTCCAAGCGTCTTCCACAAAACATAACAGTACAGAGGCTACCACATGTTAAAACAGGATTTCGTCCAATAAGATCAGGTGCGTGCAGTTGGCCCTTGACATGCCTGTCTATGCCTTGTTTTCAGCCTGGACGCAGTAAACTCTCCGCCTGGTCGGAATTCTCTTGCTGGATCTCTGTTACCGGGCCCAGGAGTCAGCAGAAGTGCTTGTTTAGAAATGTCCTACGAGGCGAATGCCGCATTTTCTTCGGATCAGGAAGTCGCAAATGCTAATAAAACATAATATAATATAGTATAATATAGTACAATATAATATAATATAATATAATATAATATAATATATTATATTATAAGATAATATAACAGCCGACCTGGCCAAGGAGCCATAGTCCAGGGTCTCCTTTCATGGCCATGGGTCCGCAGAAAGCAGATATTCAGAGGTCATGCTGCGCCTCGATATACTCACGCTTTGCCGTTTCGACAGGATCATTCTTATCCTGCACCGTCTTTGCAAGCATCTTATGCCAGAGCATCGTGGGATGACTCGCGGGCATTCACTTGCGAATGTTCGTGCTGAAATAGCTGCCGAAGTTTTGTTTTGCGGGCACTTCCTTCTTCTCCTTGCGCCCCATGGGAAACACCACCAAGCGCCTCAGCTCCATACCCTGAACGTCCCTGGACCCTAGAATGGGTACACAGCTGTAGACTGCAACCTACAGGAAAGCACACAGCTTCTGCAGCTCTTGCTGGCGCTTGTGCTCATGGAGGTCTGGTTCAAGAACTAAGAGCCATGCTCTTCGATTTTGCCTTTGTCTTCGAGGCCCAAGAAGCTTGCCTTCACTTTTCTCTCCTGACATCTGGCCGCAGGGTCCAGTTCTCCTGTCTGGTTCCGCAATCCTTGAGTCCTCCACGGCCACGAGGACTTTTGCAACAGCACCGCCATCGGTTCGCGTGAAAAACACCACCGCAGCGGCGCGGTAAGCCCCCTCGCGCCAAAGCATGTTGCGAGGCGCTGCTGATGATATGGTTCTGGTCATGAGAGGACGTTGCGAGGAAGAATGAGGAGCTGGGCTGACTGCAGAGGATGAGTGAGGAGTGTGGAGAGTGAGGAGAGTGAAGAGGAGTGGAGAGTGAGGAGAGTCAGAATAGTGGGGAGTGAGGGGAATGAGAAGAGTGAGAAGAATAAGGAGTGAGCGGAGCGTGAGAAGAGTGAGGAGTGCGAGGAGTGGCAAGTGAGAGCGGGAAGAGTCGGGAGTGAGGGGAGTGAGGAGAGCGCATGGCCCTGAGCCATGATTTTGACCACCATCATCAAGGAGGTCATCATCATCACCATCAGCAGCATCATCACCATCACCATCGTCGTCACGATCCTAGCAATAGAGATAGTACTGACTACTGAACAGTGATGATAAGAAGACCAATATCCTTGTAATCATGAACTGATGGTCACAAGAAGAGGAAGGACAACATTCCCGGTAATGAGTAATGAAGAACAACAGCAAGCACACGCTTCTCAGCAGCATCGGCATGCTACAAGTTACAAATGGGGCGATTTGGCTCCAGGGCTTCAGACTTCTTTTGGTATTCGGGGTTGCGGCTCTCGCCCTCCCCCGAGCGCATGTGACGAACAGCTTGCCTCGGCTGTTTGGCCACTTTCTGCACCTTGTCACAAGAAATAACTCAGAAGGAGATGCTGCTAACATTGACCAAGCAACCTGCCTCCTGCCTTCAGTGGTGCGTCCGGTGGATCTGCATGGCCCTGTCATGGGAAAACGATTGCAAGGGGAGTGAACTGAAGTGGCACCGTGCTTCATGCTTCATTTCTGTCTGCATCACGAACCTCTGCGGGCTTCTTGACAGAAGATTTGGCTTCTGCCTGTGCCAGAGATCCGAAAGAAAGAGGCCACGACTGTGTCGACCTTCACCTGCCAGTCCCTTGCCTTGTTCTTCTTCTTGCCCATCAGCGCGATGAGTCAAGTTGAAATGTCACCGTGTGACAGGTGATGACCGAATTGTGGGCTGAAGTGAGTCTGCAATCCATTCTTCCGATTTCGATGGAGTCTGAGAGAGGCGACCTAGCCTTGATGCTGGATAGCTGAGGAATCCAAGGCGGATAGTCCATCTTTTCATTGAGGCACGCTCGACTTGTCGGCACTCACCTTTCAGAGCTGTTTTTGACAAGCACCATGCTGGCTTGAAGCAAACGGTGTCTGGCTGCGGCTCTGTGTTCAAGTGTGTGTGTGTGCGCGTGCTTGTGCTGCCAGTCTTCGGCTCCTACACTCGTGCCGGCCGCTCCGTCACGGGCACGGCTAGAGGAAGCAAAGGCCTGATGGGGTCATGCAGCCCCCTCTCGCCAGCGCGTTCAAGTCCGGTAGGACTGAAAAACTGCGGAACGGGCACGGACCGGAGGTTGCTAAGGCAAGCAAACCTGCCTCAGCTCAGAGTCGTGAGAGCTTTGCTTTTGAGGGAGCTGCCGAGAGTGCGCTGT